TTTTCATTTTTGTCAGTTTTCTTTATTATTCAATATATGTATAAATTTTAGTGTTGACTTTTCATTAATCTACCTATACGCCTAATAGGTTAATCCAGTGGATTTTTTAAATTTGGAGAAAACCTGGTGGCCCACAATTTTGTTTTCTATTTTTTTCTAATATTGTTATCTTTATCTTACCGTAACTTAAGGTAGATTTTGATTCGAAAACCGGGAACATTTTTGGCGCCCTACGCAGGGCGCCAAAAATGTAACCTACAAAGTGAACTTCGCAACTTCCAGTGAGGAGAACTGTCTAAAACTTAACTTTTTCGAACTTCTTATCTACTCGGTCACATAATTTTCGGTTGTTTCGGTGTCAACCTTTGAGCCTTCGACGTCGTTTAGACAGTAGCTAGGGGGTGGATAACTTTACAAACATTCAGGAAGTAGTGGACAAACTGAGTTTCAATATTGGCCAATCTGTGCTAGTAATTCCTGAGGAATGAAATAAAAGACAATCCTTTATAATAAATTTACTCAATAGATATTTTCAATGTTTGTCTTTTAAATTATTATGAAAGAAACTAATCTAAAAACATACCCAATATATTCATCATTTAACAAATTCCAAATTATTGTTCAAACTAACCCTTAAAAAACAACCAATGTTTAATATTTAACTTATAACAATTATTATTCATGAATTAAATCATATTGATTTTTCCTACAGCTTATGATGAATTATTCATAACTAAATAAACTAAATACCTAAAGAAAGTAAGAAATTAAATAGCATATCATAGTATAAATCCAAACAGAATAATAAATAAGTCATTAGCTTTGGTACCATAGCGAAAGATAACATGCACAAAATGTTAAATAGAACATAGTATGAATCAAGGACTACTAACGAATGATAAACCTAACAGATATATAAAAAATTTACAAAACTGTACCTGAATAAAATAAAACAATACTTAGACTTGATCTCCTAACAAATATTAATCTAAAGACTGTTCGCGAAAAATTATCCTATAGCGCGCACTGGAAAATCGTATAATAATAATAATAATAATAATAATAATAATAAACTTTATTTGCAAATTCCAGTTTTTTATACATATAAAAATATTCAGAAAAAAAGTGCCAAAGAAGGCTGCAAAAAGGACTGGTGAACAGTGGATACTGATCAAAGCACCAGCCCTGAGTATTACCAACGCCACAGGACATCGTACAAAAAACAATATAAATATAAACACAAATGATAGTGAGAAAAAAAAGTATAAACATTCTAAAAAGTAGCTATCACTCTGCTGTGTCAAGAAGAAACTTTTTGTAAATTTTTTTTAAATTTACTTACAGACATTTCTTTAAAATGTTGTGGGATAACCTTGTACATTGCATAAATATTATAAGTGAAAGACCGTCTGAAAATCGCAGTATTATGTATTGGAGGTGAGATACGACCACAAAAACGTAGATTGAGGTTATGAACATCAGAACGATACATTATTTTATTAAAAAGATATGGAGGGGATTTATGTAAAATAACAGAATGAAACAAATTAGCCGAGTGTAAGTTTCGTCTGGATTGCATATCTAGCCAGTTTGAATCCTTGAGTTTATGAGAGACTCTATCAAATTTCCGTATTACATAAGAAAATCTTAAACAAGATTTCTGTACTCTCTGAATTCTAATTATGTCTGCGTTATCTAAACAGGGCCCATAAACTGAATCACAAAAGTTAAAATTACTCAGAACCAGGGAATCTGTTAATAACAATTTTGTTGTAGTTGGAAGAACATGTCGATGTGGGTAAAGCATTTTTAAATTCATGTATGCTGTTTGGATGCACTTGTTAGCGTGAAGTTTAAACCTCAAGTCATTATCAATTACTAAACCTAAATTGCGAGCAGATGTGGAAAATGATAAAATATTCCCATCAACTAGAATCTGCATTTCATTTTGTAGTTGATGTCGGTATTTACCAAATAACATTACTACACTCTTAGCTGGATTAATATTAAGTTGATGAATATTTGAAAGTTTAACTAGTCTGTCAAGATCTTCATTAATATGATTATTAGCTTCTAAGGAATCATTATGATTAAAAGAAAATTTAACTTGAGTATCGTCAGCATAAAAAAATGGCTTACCATTCCTAATGCTATTCTCAAAGTTGGAGGTATATAGTGAAAATAATAATGGCCCAAGTATTGATCCCTGAGGAACTCCACAGGAAATCTGCTTAGTATTTGATGAACCTGCATCAGTAACCACAAATTGTTTCCTGTTATACAGGTAGCTATTAAAAAGTCTGATAACATCATTAGAGCAACCAATAAAATGTAATATTGAGAGTAAAATTTTATGATTAATAGTATCAAATGCTTTGGAATAATCTAGCATAACAAGTGCTGCCGTTTTTTTGACATCAATATCCCTGAAGAGATCATCAGTGACATCCAGTAAAGCTGTAGCATAACTATAGCCAGAACGAAAACCTGACTGTCGCAGTGGAAGTATTTGATTATTTTTTAAATGAATATTTAATTGAAATTTCATGATTTTTTCAATCACTTTGGATAACACTGGTAGGATAGAGATGGGACCAAATCGTTCACACTAGTAACGTTCTTTTTCTTGGGCAAGGGAAAGACTTTTGATAGCTTCCAAGATTCCGGAAAGATGCAATCGGTGAGGCAAACATTTATGATATGTGTAATTATAGGTAAAATTTCAGGACAGCATGTGAATATTTAACTGATCCGCTCCCGAAGCTACAGACTTTATTTCGACCAAATACTTATCTCTGGAACAGAATGCGAAACTTCTCCTAATAGATGGGTTGGGTGCAGCTATTGCGAAACTACCATTACTTGATATTCGGAATAGAAGTTGAACATTGACTAACGCACGAATATCTATTTTAAATATTTTGTTCCCTTAGGAATGTAAAATCGAGAATTTTGAACTGCAAAATGTGCACGTTACAAGACCACCTCTGGATTTCATGTCGCTGGTCAATTCTGAGGACCAACCTTTTACATCTATTTTCGAGCTAAATCACAATAATCACACTACATTACATCATAGGAACCAAATTAACTTTTAAATCACTCTTATAAATATTTGTAAATGTTTATTCTTAGCTCCTAAGCTTTTAGCTCTTGATCTTTTACTTTTTGAGCTTTTAACTCTTAAGCTTCTAGACTTGAGTCACATCAAACTTTTAAGGATTAATCCCTATGCCCCACTTCTGACCTTGTGTGATCAATTTTTTTACTTTTTACACTTCTTTTATTGCTTTCTTGAAGTAAGAACTTGTTACAGATTGTTTTTATAATACTAAAGTGTCGCGACTAGGGAATTTTTGCAACGGTTAAAAATATTTTGTGCTCTTTTCAAAACACTGTCCTTTTCAATACACTGGTATTTTTATACGGACAATTGGAGGGTTTTAAAAATATTTTTATATAATTCCCTCAATAAAATGCAAAGCTTTAAATAGGAAACATATAGCCACTTAAAATCACTTACATTTTTGTTTTCTATGTTTACTAAATTGTCCTAGGACCTCATTAAGGCTATATGATAGTAAAAATTACTTTTAGTCCCGTTATCCTCGTTGAGTAACACTCCCGTAACACCCTCGGGACCGCTTCCAAGGAGGCAAAATTAATTTGGCCAGCGAAAATTAATAGAACAATCCGTCTGGAGTTCGTCCCGGCGTATTATAGTCGCTGGTGGATGTGTGCCAGAAATAAATTTGCAAGATAATGAAGAATATAAATGTATTAAATTCCTCTCCGGTTAATTGATAATCATGGCTCGTGTCCCGGCTGCCGGCCGCGTAACTCGCTTTTCCTTATTAACCGGCTACCGGCTGCCGGAATATTTTATAGAAATTCGATTTGCGTCCTCATTACGGCGAACGCTTTAATTAACGGACATCTCTCTCTAACCTTAACCCCCTCTTTTTCGTTCACCCCGAATCCCATTTCCATATAATCAGCGTCCTTATGTAGACACCTATTGCTCCAATCTGCTAAAACTGATGAAAATAATTGATGCGCCACTGTTTTTACCAAGCTCTTTACAGTCTAGTTGAAATTAGATTTCGCAAAATCCCGGATTTAAGTTTTTTTTTTTTTTCGTTATTTTTTACTCTTACTGCTATAATTATGTAATCATGGATTCTGCTTTGTCTAATCCGGATTAAGTGCAGTAACTTCCATTTCAGGTTATTTTTTCTTTTGTGAAACTGTATTTTTAACTCTAAATAAATACCGAATACGCCTTTGAGCGAGCGCAAGCCCTTAGTAACAAATTAATATTTAAAACGCAGTCACACCCGATGTAACCAAATTACAAGCAGAAAAAACTTTGCAGGTGCGAATGGTTACATCTCCAAAAGTCACGCCACATCACATAGTCACGTGTAACAAAATCATTGGTCCGACATGGCTTAACAAATCACGTCATTGACTATACCGAAAGTAGCTTTGAAAAATCATCGTTTTAAATATTCATTCCTTTTCCATCACTTACTTTTTCATTACTCTTAAGCTCACTTCGACAGGAGTCAATAGAATGCCGTAGTGTGCAAACATATATATATATATACAGGGTGAATCATAAAGACCTAACTAACTCTCTAGGCTAATAGTCATAATTTATCTAAGCAGATTTACCACATATTTCAAATTCTTTGTCTAAAATTACGTAAATCAATATTTAAAATTTGATGATATTTTTTACTCAGATGGCAACACCGCCTCCTTTATATGACTCTCTACAATGCATAGTGTAGAATTTAATCAAATAAGACGAGATGATATTACTAACTTTATTACTCCAATTTACTTCACACATAGTAACCATTAAAATGCAAGTTTGGCACGGAATCTAAACAAGCCTATGTTTCTGTGATACATGAAACTATTAAATTCGGGTGTAAAAAATGCTAATACGTGCATCTCTGGCTCTACAACCTGTTCTGACCATGCTGTTTTTTGTTACAGTTCTCAGAGACGAATTCCGACTGGAGCCCCAAAGTTCCAGGGTAGCAGCCGGCGAGGACATCGTACTGGAATGTTCTCCTCCTAAGGGCGTCCCAGAGCCACAAGTCTTCTGGAGAAAGGACGGGCAATCGCTGGGAGTAGAGGGAAGATTGAAATTAGTGGATGGGTACAATTTAGCCATTACCGATACTAAAACTAATGATGACGGGAAATATCAGTGCATTGCGAAAAACACGGCTGGAGTTAGAGAGTCTGCAGCTGCCGTGTTGAAGGTCTATGGTAAGTTGTGTGCAGAATTCCTTTAAAAAGGCCCTACTTTGGGCGGAAATTTATCAGAGTTCTTAAAAAATATATTAATATGGTATTTAATACCCTCAATTATTAAATTTCTAATATATCTTCTTGTGTTGGGTTCAAACTTCTAAAATGTTAACAAAAATGAATGATGAATTAAAATGTACTACTTATCTTCTCGTCTTTCTGCTTTCTCCTCTAATTTCGCCGCCTTATCTTTTTACTTCTCCTTTGACTTTCTATACATCTAATTATTCTGCTTTCTTTTGTTTTTGCACCTCTTTTAAAACTGTGCTTCAACTATATGCTCTCCTCCTCTGCTTCCTCAACTCCTTTCCAAAAATACTTTTTTATATCCTACTACTTTTCAATATTATATTTGTTCTTTATCTCTTTTAAACTTTATTTTACCTATTTTTTATATCATTATATCTCCACAACTACATTATTTTTTACAGTTAAACCATTCATGATTCGTCCACCAGAAGATATAACCGCCGTGGTAGGATCAACAGTGGAATTCACATGCGCTACAGGAGGAGACCCAATACCCGACGTCCTTTGGCGAAGAACTGCACCAGGTGGTACGATGCCGCTAGGTAGAGTTAGGGTACTGGAAGATCGCACGTTGAGGTTAGAACAAATCGTTTTGTTAGATCAAGGAAGATACTTTTGTGACGCGGATAATTTCGCCGGCGCTATTACAGCTTCGGCTTTGCTAATAGTACACGCACCACCGACGTTCACTACCAAACCTCAATCGCAAGCCGTTGAAGCTGGTCGTGATGTGACGTTTCATTGCAACGTCAAGGGAAACCCCCCGCCGTTCATATTTTGGACTTTCGAAGGCGATAGAGCTCTGGTTTATACTGGCAGTAATTTTGCCAATTACGAAGCTTTTACCACGTCGGAAGGGTTTTCTACTTTAGTTCTGAAGGAAGCACAGGTTCAAGACTCTGGTACCGTCGTAATTTGTTCCGCAATTAACGCTGCTGGGTCAGTATCTTCAAGAACGCGACTTACAGTGACGTCCAAAGAAGATAGACCTCCGCCCATCATCCTCAGCGGTCCTGTAAATCAATCTCTACCTATAGACTCAGTGGCATACATGTCTTGTGAAGCTGAAGGCAATCCCAAGCCGGTAATTTCTTGGTATAAGGACGGAGTACCTGTCTCGTCGTCACATAAAGTCAACATGTCCAATCCCAATCATTTGGAGATTCAAAGTTTACAAAAAGAAGATTCTGGGTCGTATACTTGCGTGGCTTCGTCTAGGAGCGGTAAAGCGACTTGGTCTGGACATTTGTTGGTCGAGAATCCCAAGAATCCTAATATAAATTTTTTCAAAGCTCCCGAAGCTGTTATGCTGCCTGGTCCGCCTAGCAGGCCTCACGCTTTGAACCAATCTGAAGGTAAAGTATCTTCTGTAAATGTATCTACAATTATTGAAAGGTTGGTCATAACTAACAATTTAAGATTGGGATGGATTTCCATTTAGGTTTTTATACTTGTTATGATCTAGCTAATTAAATAACAAAATGAATATAGATAAAACATGTTTTAAATTGTTTTTCTACATTTTAAATGAAATATTGCTTGGTTAGTTACAACATTGTTATGGCCAATCATTCAATTCTTGGACTCTTTTTTCTACTAGTTCTTCTAGTATAACCTTTTCTTCAGTTTCCACCGTCTCTTTTTGTCATCTGGTACTTTCCAGGCTATTTTCTTGGCACACGTTGGGAGCCTAAAATGTATAACTACATTATTTCGTCGGCTTACTATCAAAAACTCCCAAGTCAGAGTACAATTATTTTACAGGAGACATGAAAAATATTTCTTCTGTCTTAATGTAAGATGATAACGCGAATCATGCACATTTTTTCTTTTAGGTCTTCTAGAATAGCCTGTATCCACCTTTTCTTCAGTTTGCACCGTATCTTTTTGTCCAGCTATTTTCTTGGCACACGTTGGGCGCCATAATGTGAAGTTGTATATTTTAAACGTTAAAAATGCCCAGAATGTGAATACTGTCCTTTGCCTTTCTTTTCTAGTGACTAAGAGTCTATTAGAAAATTTTCACTTTAAACTGCACTTATCTTAACGTCTAGCGGTGCAAATGATCCTAAGTCATTAAGTTTGTTTCGATACTTGATTTATCCATTCTATTATTGACATTCCTAATCTTTTAGACTATTTCGTAGACACATTATTTATCAAAATTAAATTTTTAGGCAGCGTAACCATCACGTGGGGGCAAAACAACAAAATAGGCTCCTCTAGCCTTCTCGGCTACCAAGTAGAGCTGTTCGGAAAAGAAGAAGGGGTTACTCCTACTTGGACGATAGTGGGTCGAAGAATACCAGGTCCCACATTCACCCAACATCTCCTTACAGCCGGTGTACCTTACACGTTCCTCATAAGAGCTCAGAATGCTCATGGTATCGGTCCTCCTTCCCAGCTCAGCGAACCAGTGGTCGTCGGACCGGATGCAGCTCAGAATTGGGGTAATCCCGAAGTTACAGAGTTAAGCGAAGCTAGAGCTAATTTAATTACGCCTAATATAGCTAAATTGACTGAAGCGATTCCTCTGACGTCCACTTCCATAAAGATCGTTTGGGATATTAACGATTCTACGTACGTGGAGGGATTGTACATTTATTATTTAGCTTTGGACGACAATGAAGAAAGGCCTAAAACTTATAGTATGTTAACGGTGTTGCATACTGGTGGTACGTCGAGTTTTACTGTAAATAATTTGGAAAAATGGGCTAAATATGAGTTTTTCTTGGTGCCGTTTTTTAAGACTGTCGAGGGACATCCTTCGAATTCCAAAACTGTCAGAACGTTAGAAGATGGTGAGTAGCAGTACTAAAATAATTATTATGGCGGTTATGTAATAACTAATAGACCTTTTACTTCTATATTTTTACTTACTTACATTTATTAATAATAAAATAAATCGAATGGAGTCGTCATGATTTAAAACAAACAGATAAATACAAATTGAGACGTTTAGAACGATTAATTTTACTCAACAAGGCTTTTAACTAGGGATAGGCGATTATTAAAATAGACAATCGATTATTTTGATTACTTGAAAATATTAGATTAATTTTAATTAATCGATTATTCAATTAATCGATTTTTTTCGATTAATCAATTATTCAGTTTATCAATAATTATTTTCCCTTAATATATTGTTTTCGTTTAATCGAAAAATCGATTATTTTTCATTAATCAGTTATTTTCAAATATTCAATCATTCAAATCAATTAATCGTTAAACTGAGTATTTCCGAACAATTGGATAATTGATTATTAGATTAAGTATTGATATATCGATATTATTTAATTGATTAAATCGTCATGATTTACAACAAACAGTTAAGTATAAATTGACACGTTTAAATAGGTTTTTAACTGGACCTGGGCAATTAACAAAATAAATAACCGATTATTTTCGATTATTCAATTAATCCAGTATGTTAGAATAATTAATTATTCGATTTATCAATTATTTTCAATTAATCAGTTATCAGCTATTCAAAAAATCGATTTGATTTATCAATTATTTTCGATTATTCGAAACATTGATTATTTCGATTAATCGTTAAATTGGTTTTCCCGAATAATTGGATGATCCAATATTAAATTTATCGATATATCGATATTATTGAATTGATTTTTAATCCTATATTCGATTATTAACATATCGAATCAGGTAATTAAACAATCGTTTTATTGTATAGAATTATCGAGCATATGTATTCAAAAAAAATAGTTTTTCTTAAAGTGTGAGATAAAAGCCATATTTTTGTACTTTTTCGTATTTCCTTTGAAAAGGATTATTCGATTAATCGCTCATTAAATTATTTTAATTATTAATCAAAATCGAAAATGATTGATTAATCTAAAACAATCGATTATTCGAAAATAATCGACATTATCGATATTTTGTACCTTTTTATTTCCTTTAAAAACGATTATAAAATATTGAATTAATCGAAATTAATGGATTAATAAAAAAACGACTAATCGAAAATAATCGCTTAATCGATTAACCGAAAATAATGGAATAATCGAAAACAATCGATTAACTTAAAAAACGAATAATTGAAAATAATCGATTAATTTAAAACAATTGATTGATCGAGAGCAATCGTTTAATAGAAAATAATTGATGACTCGAAAACAATGAATTAATAAAAAATAATCGATTAACGAAAACAATCGAATAATTCATTAATCGATTAATGGAAAATAATGGAATAATCGAAAATAATTGATTATCTAAGAAACCGATTATTCCTATCGATTTTTTTAAATAAAAATAATCGAATAATAGATTATTTTGCCCTCCTATACACTTAACATAACCTATATATCTTAGCTTAAAATACGACGATCTAATTTAGGTAGGATGGTCCGTCCTTAAACAGTATAATAAAATTTACAGAATCGTTCTCCTACTTAGGAGAAGTTTTAAAGCAATAATTATTTATTGGTGTAATAATGTATCAATGATATAGGCTACTACGAGTCGATACAAGAAAGTCCAATAGTTAAACAGACATTAATAAAGTCTGACTTACCCTTATTCCTTCCGATTACTTCCTAGTAATCTCAAGGTGGATGGTTGTTAAGATAATTTCATGTTTTCTGTTTGATTTGTCTGCTTTCTATGGCCTAAGTCAGCGATGATATAGTTCGCAGTCTTTTTCAGTGATACTATGACCCGTATTTATAAACCGATCTCAGGTGAGTCGGCCTCAGCTGAGTCGTTTTCGAACGAAAATCGAAGTTCGGTTATATCATGTGGATTTAGAGATGGTAGTAACAAATTTTTAAATGTACTTAAGAGTTAGGGATTTGCTAATTCCATCTCTAAATTCCAGTGCAGCACTGGAACTCTAGAGAAGTTATGACCGAACTTCATTTTCGTTCAAGGACCACTCAGCCAAATCTGATTCACCTGATATCTGTTTATAAATACGAGCCTGAGTTTGATCATGTTCTATGATATCTGTTTATAAATACGAGCCTGAGTTTGATCATGTTCTATTTATGGTTTTACCAGAATCTAAAGTCTCCACTAGAGCTTCAAAAATGATAATCGAAATATCTGTTTTCAGCGATAACTTCAACTGTTATCTGTAGCTCTAAACGTTAACAAACCAACAGTTTTCATCAAAATTTTTAAATTAGCTATCACCACTAATACACCAAAGGCACAAATTACCGATCCTATTCCTAACTTACAGCAATCGAACGCGAAATAAATGTTTGAGATTAATAATATCTGTAAAATATCGAGTGCTCCGAACAATACATCCTTAAGATCATGTCATCCGCATAAAACGGCATTGACATTGATATACTCATTATTAAAAATATTAAAAAGATGAGGATCAAGATTTGAGCCTTGGGGAACTCCAGAAGCTTCAAAATTTTCGACAGATCTGTGACCATGAAATTCAACAAATTATTTTCTATTTGATAGATAAGAATGAAACAGACGCATGAGGGTCGATGAAAAATTTTGTTCAGTTTTTTTAATAACATGTTTTTAATATTATTTGAGGTTCTCTTTTTTCTTCTTCGGAAATGATATTTTTACTTAACTATGTTTTGATAAGTAGGATAATAATATAGATTTCAGTTTCTATAAACATCCTATCAACTTTTCCTCTCCCTTATTTTTATTTATATTTTTAACCACTGCATACTTATTTATGTATTTATATAGTTTTCATAATAATTATAATCCGGTTCGAAGGACCATTTGAGAGATTATTTTATAATTAAGAGCCGATAACCACGGCGCACCCCCCAAAGAAATAGTTTATTATCTTAATAACTTTTAAAATCATAATAATGTAGGCTCAATTACTGTGATATTGTCTTTTTTATTAGTTTAATCAAATATAATAAATTTAACTGATTTATTCAGAATTAACGAAATTTTCTACTTTGGAACATTTTCCGTCTTTGTTTGTGGTACAATTTTAGTAGTGGTAAAGTCTACACATGCTTAAGAGGGCATGCATATATAAAAAATATGCATGCCCTCCTAAGCATGTAGAACCTTTCCCACTCCTAAAATTAGGTTAAAATTATACCATAAACAAAAACTGAAAACTTTCCAGTCGAAATTTTCTTTTATTCTGAATAAATCAGTATATTTTATAATTATATTTTGATTATTCTAATAACAAAGACAATATCACATTAATTGAGCCTAAAATATTATTTTAAAAATGTTATTAATCTAAATATTTTTTTGGTGGGAGAGCCTCGTGTTTATTGACACCTAATACTACAACGATAGTTCTCAAAAAATCCTTAAATTTTTTATTTTCATCCAAATTTATGATATCAGAGAAATAAACATTTTAAAATAACAGCATTATTTAATAATTTAAATGTACATTTAAAAAATGACATTTCAAATTTCGATCTCCAGCTCAACGTTTTGAAATGATTTTAAAATAACAATCCATCATTTTTGTTATTATAATATACATCAAACTTGGAGCGAAATATGAGCAAGTTTATAGTAATTGCATATAAAATAAATATTTTTATTGAATTAAAATAATTAGTTCACATACAGGATGTTATTTCACTATATAAAAAAATAATATCGTCTGTTATAAGAGAATATTACCGATATATGCCATATTACTGCCGCTATCAACAAATGGCCAAAATTTATTTCTTTAATGTCATTTTCAATTTATTGAACTTATTCGCTCATTTGCGAGAATAGCGACACAACTCAAAAAAAATTTATTCGAGATAATCAAGTTTAATTGATTGATTTAATGAGCTAAAACTTGAAAAGTGTCAATGATAGTAGTTCCTCCAAGCGAATATGGAATGTAGTTGTTTCTGTTAGTGCAATTGTCTCAGATTTGATGAATTTTTACTTGTGCCAGTATTTTCGCCAATGAGCGATATGTTTTGTAAAAAGTAACAATTGCATGTTTCATTGTTGCACAAAGTTCTAGAAATTCATTTAAAACTATTAAAATAAATCCTAGTGACATTTATAAATTTATATTTAATTTAAATTGTTATTATATAAAATCATATTTCAGTCCCTTCAGAAGCTCCATCTTACATGGAAGCGCTTTTGCTCAATTCCACGGCTGTGTACTTGAAATGGAAACCGCCGCCTCCTATAACTCTTAACGGGGAACTCCAAGGTTACAAAGTGGAAGTTAAAACCAATGGTACCGATCAAATCAAGTTGATTACCGTGGGTAAAAAATCTACGAGCCTTTTACTTGGTAGTTTATCGCCTGGCGTGTCTTATTTCGTAAGAGTAGCTGCTTCTACCAGGATCGGATTAGGGCCATTCAATCCGGCTGCTACATTGAGACTGGAACCCACGTCTAGAATATCGGACAATAATTTTCAAAGGTTGTTTTAAAATCAAATGATTCTTAAGTAGTTACTTTATATAAATATCTGTTTTCTAGGCCAGTCGGTGCTGATATGCAATCCGGCGACTTCATCACCGAAACCTGGTTCATGGCGCTGTTAATAAGCATGGTTTCCGTCATGATCCTCCTCTTCGGGGCCATGATCTTCGTCAGACGACGACAGCTGCTGTCCAAAAAGAGCCTAACACCGAGCAGATCTAACGGAGCAGTTTTAACCACACCGCTAGACGTAAAACACGAAGCGCCTCTTTGGTTGGACAAGGAAAATCTACCGGATTACTCGTCAACTACTCTACCAGAGTATTCGAAATTAAATCCTGGCGTTCAGAAGAGGAAGGAGTACGTGTATAACGGATCTGTATCCAATGGGTGCGTGAAATAAAACTTTTTAGCTTCTTTTTCAGTAAAAACATTAAAAATAGTCTACAGCAAGATAATATAATAAAAAAATCAAGAGAATGACGGATCCACTTAATATGATAATGGTTAATAATATAAAATAAAAAAAAGTGCAATTAAAAATAAAAATAAGTCAACCCAGTACAATACCACTAGTTATCAATAAATCAGTCAACTTTAAGATAGTCAAATTCTATTTAAATATATATTTCTAAAGTAGTATTATTACTTGGATTGTTAAAGAACTCCGAAAAGTAGATTGTTCCAACTTGGACCTAGAAAAAATCGATTTACCAAACTAAGAACTCGGAAAATAGATTATTTCGACTTATAACTCAGAAAAATCGATTTTTCTACATTTACGGCTCCGAAATATAGAATAGTCCAACTTAGAATTCGAAAAAATCAATTTTTCCGACTTAAAATTTGAAAAAGCGTTCATACCCACTTAGAACTCGAAAAAAAACATTATTTAGACTTAGAACTTGGAAAAGTAGATTATTTCGACTTAGAACTCGGCAAAATCGATTTTTCTGACTTAGAGCCCGATTTCAAATTAAAAAAATAAATAATATCGACTTTGAACTCTGAAAAATCGATTTTTCTGACCTAGAACTCTGAAAAATCGATTTTTCTGATATAGAACTCTAAAAAATTGATTATTCCTTCTTAAAACTTGGAAAAATAGAGTATTCCGACTTGAAACTCGGAAAAAATCAATTTTTTTGACATAGAACTCTAAAAAATCGATTTTTTTCTAACATAGAACTCTGAAAAATTGATTATTCCTACTTAAAACTCGGAAAAATAGAGTATTCCGACTTGGAACTCGGAAAAATAGATTATTCCGACTTTGAACTCGGAAAAAATACATTATTTCAACTTAGAATTCTGAAAAACATATTATTTTGACTTAGAACTCGTAACAATAGATTATTCCGACTTAGAACTCTGAAAAATCGATTTTTCTGACTTAGAACTCAGAATAATCGTTTTTTCTTAGTTAGAACCCGGAAAAAAAATTATTTCTACTGTGAACTCGAAAAAATTGATTTTTCTGACATAGAACTTGAAAAAATAGATTATTCCAACTTTGAAATAGAAAAAAAATATGTTTACATTAACAATATTCTACAGAAAAATAATTAATTTCCATATAAAAGATAATATAATAAAAGAACTTCAAGAGAATGACGGATCCACTTAATAAAAGTACAATACCACTATTAATCAATCACTCAACTTTAAGATAGTCAAATTCTATTACAATATATAACTTTCTGAAGCAGTATTATTGCTTGGATTATTAAAAATGTTTTACTGGGATGTTTTTTAGTAAAATAGAACTGTTATAAAGTATGGTTAAACCACCAAAAATTTGATTTAGTATCATTATTATTATTTCCGACGAATTTTACCTTTGCTTATTCGATTACAGGGTGAATCCTTACGGCAGCATCAATTTGCGATCGAACCCGTTGAACCACGCCGAATTCTCCCGGCCCGATAACTTACAGTACAGCTCGGAAAAGTATTATCCGGTAACGGCGAGAAAATTCGAGGAATTTCTCAACATGCAAGTGCAGGAGTACGCCAGTCCGAACGTAGAGTCCAAAGTGGCCGATTATGCGGAAGTCAACGCTAATTTGGTCGCGAATAACGAAGGAGGATCTGTGTCTCCGGCTCCCTATGCTACTACGACGCTGGTGGCTTCAGGAAAACGAACGGTAAGAACGAATTTTAAGTATTAAAACATAGACGAGAGTAGGGTTGGGCGATTATCAAAATAAATTATCGATTATTGATTATTTGAAATAATCGAATATTTTTGTCTAATCGATACATTAATCGATACATTAATCGATACATTAATCGATACATTAATCGATACATTAATCGATACATTAATCGATACATTAATCGATACATTAATCGATACATTAATCGATACATATATAATCAATCGAATATACTGGATGTTAAATTTGTATCCAGTCAAAGCGAAATTTGTTTAATTTTTAAAAACCAAAGAGGACATAATTTTTAAAGATTTCATTGGTAGTGGATTAAATGTACCTGATGTTAAATTTAAATCAAATCAACCCTAAATTTAATTAAGTGTTAAAAATCCAAAAAAAAATCATCAATATTCAATATTTCATTTGAAGTAGTTCAAATATACCGTATGTTAAATTTCGATCAATTCAATATAATTTTCAATCAATTTTTATGCCAAAGAAATCATCAATATCTAATATTTAATTTGTGATAGTTCAAATGTAGGTACTGGTTATTGAATTTGAAGCAAAATAATGCGAAATTTAATTATTTGTTGAAAATTTAAACGAAACATCATTTTTAAGTATTAAATTTGTGGTAGTTCAGATGTACCGTATGTTAAATTGCTATTAAATCAAGGCGAAATTTTCCAAATAATAAAATGTTATAAATCCAAATGAAACGTCATTTTTTAATATTTAATTTGTGTTAGTTCAAATGATACCGGATATTAAATTTCTATCAAATTAATGCGAAATGCAATTATTTGTTGAATATTTATAGAAAACATTTTATTAAATTTATGGTAGTTCAGATGTACCAGATGTTAAATTTCTATTAAATAAAGGCGAAATTATCCGAATGATAATTGTTAAAAAGCGAAATAAAATTTTTTTCAATAAATAATTTGTGGTAGTTCAAATGTACCGGATGTTAAATTTCTATTATATAAAGGCAAAATTTTCCAAAAAATAATTGTTAAAAAGCCAAATAAAACATCATTTTTTAATATTTAATTTGTGGTTCAAATGTACCTGATATTAAATTTCTATTAAATCAATGCGAATTCAATTATTTGTTAACATTCAAATAAAACATATTAAATTTCTATTGAGTCGAGGCGAAATTTTCCAAATAATAATTATAATAATTGTTGAAAAGCTAAATGAAACATCATTTTTTAAATTTTTATTTTGTGGTACCTAGTTTAAATGTATCGGATATTAAATGTCTGTTAAATCAATGCGAAATTTTCCAAATAATACTTAATTGTTAAAAATCCAAATAAAACATAATTTTCCAATATTTAATTTATGGTAATTCAAAAATGTACCTGATGTGATAAATGTGAAATTCAATTAATTGTTAAAAAACTAAAAAAAAATTTAAATTATTTATTGTTTCGGCCTTTACTTGATGAAAATCCATATTATCTTAAATGAGTAAAACCAAATTTGGTAGATTTTCACAAAACTTTTATTTAAAAAAAGAAAAATTAAAAAATTAAAAACACTACACATGACATGTTTCGAAGTACAACTTCTTTTTCAAATGTGACTAATTTCCAATTCGGTGTCCAATACAGGGTGTTAAAAAAAAGTGTCACAAAATGAAATGGTGAATAGTATGACCCAAAATAAGCAGAAAAGTTTTAATAAATATATGACCGCAAATTAACGGTTTCGGAGATACGGACCATTTTGTGTTTATAACAATTTTTTATTATTATAAAAAAACAATGATATTTATAAACAATCAATAACAACATAGAGTTAAATGAGATGTTCAAAGTGCCCTCCTCCATTTCAATGCATTGCCATTTGCACGACCGTACATAAAATGCATGTCAGCTAATTCAATATTAGTGTAAACAGGCATAACGAAAATTTTTAAAATTATTCACCCACAACAAAATAATAACTGCAAATAGTATCTATGAAAAAACATCGGTAGACTCCGATAAGAAAAGCAAGTTTTTGAGAATGAAAAAAGATAATCAAAAAATGATACAAAACACAAAACACTCCGTATCTCTGAAACCATTCATTTGCGGACATATGTTTATTAAGACTTTTCTGCATATTTTGGCCCATACTACCCTCCGTTTTATTTTGTGACACTTTTTTTTAACACCCTGTATATATGCGAAGTAATTTAACCAAACAAACTAATTAAGAAAATACATCAATAACATAACAAAATAAACTGACTATTTAAAGTAAATAAGGGTACTTAAGTAATTATGATATCAATCCGATAACAATAAGATAGTATCATTACCGGGATTATCTCACAGAAAACTAGGAAAGAGATTAGAAAACATTAAATTACCTAGTAACACAAAATTTGTATCATTCGATGTAACAAACTTATTTCCTAGTATACCTCCTAAAGAAACAGTTAAGCTAGTAGAAAACTCATTAGGTCGTAATCAAGTCAATATTATAATCAAAAAAAGAAATCCTAAATTTGTTAAACATTTGCCTAAAACAAAATTATTTTCAATTTCAAAACATCTACTCAGCAAATGAAGGTCTTATTATGGGGAAACCCATTAAGCCCGTCGCTTGCAGAAATAATTATGGATAATATAGAACATAAAATTCATAGCAATAATTTAAGTAAGCATTGTCTTTATTGGCATAGATATGTTGACGATATACTGACTGCTTTTACTGGTACTAGTAGACAGTTAAATTCTTTATTAGTTTTTATCAATACTATACACCCTAATATTAAATGTACTATGGAAATAGAAAAGGATAATTCAATAAATTTTTTAGACTTAAATATTATTAAAATTAATAAAGGCCATAGTTTTGGGATATTTCATAAACCATCACATACTGATATTACAATAAATAATGGTTCATCTCATCCATACAAATAGAAGCTGGCAGTATACAACAGTATGATCCATAGATAAGTTAATATCCCCCTTACCAAAGAGAACTTCACAAAAGAATTAAATATCATTAAACAAATCGCAGTAAACAATAATTTTAATTCAAAGTTAGTAGACAACATTTTAGGGAAAAAACTTTTTAAACATGCTATTCAAGAAGTTTATCGCATAATTAAAGATCAAAATTGCAGATATAAGACTCTTACATATTATAGGAGCTCCTAGTGAAAAGGTATCATCATATTTAAAAAACCAAAATATTAATGTAGCTTTCAAAACCAATAATACGCTTGGGAAGTATATTAAAAACAATAAGAGTAAAATTAATCCTAATAATAAATCGGGGGTACATAAATTAAATTGTGGTATTAAATTGTATATTGGTCAAACAAACATTATAATAGCTATACAAAAAACAAAAATAATTCTACTTACTCAAATCATATTTTAGCTGAAAATCATTCTTTTACAGACAACTTTGAAATGTTACATATAGAAAATAAGGGCATTAAACTAAACCATTAGAAACACTTGAAATAAATAGATTTAAAAATTCAGATAACCTACTAAATAATTAATTAGATATTAATAACTCACCTTTATTAAATCTCTTTCCTAGTTTTCTGTGAGATAATCCCGGTAATGATACTATCTTATTGTTATCGGATTGATATCATAATTACTTAAGTACCTACCCTTATTTACTTTAAATAGTCAGTTTATTTTGTTATGTTATTGATGTATTTTCTTAATTACTTTGTTTGGTTAAATTACTTCGCATATATACAGGGTGTTTCCGAACTTGGCGTCCAAATTTGTAGGGGTGGTAGTTCGCATAATTTGAGAGCGATTTGCAGATTTCATTTTTCTAAAAAAATTATAATAAAGAAAATAGAGCCATTATAAAAAAAATCAAAGAACAGGTCCTACCCTGAGCGCGTAGCGCAATAGTCCTCAAAAACAGATGCGATTTGCAATTTTGTCGATTCTAAGCGTAGCGCGCGCGAGTCGGGGCGATCCTATCGCTGTACAGGACCGTACCTGTTTATAATTTTTAATTAATTTTTAATTATTTTTATTTTAAATATTTTGGAAAAAATGAAATCTGCGAATCGGTCTCAAATTATGCGAACTACCACCCCTACAAATTTGGACGCCAAGTTCGGAAACACCCTGTATTGGACACCGAATTGTAAATTAGTCACATTTGAAAAAGAAGTTGTACTTCGAAACATGTCATGTGTAGTGTTTTTAATTTTTTTTTAATTTTAATTTTTTTTTTAAATAAAAGTTTTGTGAAAATCCACCAAATTTAGTTTTACTCATTTAAGAAAACTAAAGTAGACATTATTTTTTTCAATATTTAATTTGTGGTACCAAATATTTAAGTTCAATATACATTAATAATAATTCAATATTCTTTTAATTATTTCGCGAATTTATTATAACATGTCTGTATCTGTTTCTTTGTTCAAATATATAAAAATAGAAATTGAATAAATTATTTTTATTTGTGTCTTTTCTAGCATTGGAACAATTTCAGTTCAGACATAGACGACGAATGTCCATATCCATCGGCAAACGGCGGTTACTACAACAGAAAAGTGTACTCAGATTCGTACTTCTCCCCCATACAAACGTTAAGAAGAAATCGCAACGGCAAAAAACCGCAACAGAATCCTCCCGATATCGTGTCGCCCTCTAGTTCCACAGGTAAATATAGAAAAATAATTTTTAAACAAATCAATTTATTGAATACACTTTAATTCATTAAAAGTTCATAATAATCGCAATGTCAAATGTCGAAAATTGTTGTGTCAAAACGTATGAATTGTCAAAAACGTCATGAACAAGTCAAAAATATCTTCTGACTTGTTAAACTTCTACGTTAACAACTAAAATAAATTTTCTTCTATTTATGATTTGCAGGTCACCCAGTCTACGCTCGAGTAGGGCCTCCAGGATTATCGTGGCGAAGCGAAGTGCCATCTATGAGCAGTTTTACGCCTCACAAACAAGTGTATCATCATGGATCTAGTCGATCGGAACCAGGGAATATGTAACTTGAAATAATGTTGGTTTTACAGCAGGATAATTTTGTGATGAAATGAATGAATGATATAAGGAAAATGCGTTTTAGGTAGTAAAGGAAATTTTTTATTTTAATTTCCTGGATACTTTTTACCTCATAAAAATGCAATTTTAGTTGTTTTTTTAAGAGTAACCAACATTGCTTACTGGATTTTTACCATGTACATGTTTTATACATAAAGACTGAATTATTATTACACATTTTTTTTTTTTTTGATGGCCAAATTGGTCAGTTCAAGCCGGATGTTCTAAAAAAATATTTATTGGATTTTTCAAAAGTTTTACTGACGATTTTGGTCATCTGTTCTACTTAAATATCTAGTCATATGTTTTAAAGAAGCATTGAATATCGCATAAAAATCTCGTTCGTCCAAAACACACCTTAGAAATAAGTATTTCTACGTATTTAGAATGTTATTCGGCAATTTCAGTGGTTTCATTTTATATAAATCGTTTGTAATAAATCATGTAGAGATTATACTATGAACTAATATTATCGCCGTTTGTTAAAAAACTGTATTTTACTGTAATCCTTTAACCAGAACCCAAAATTTTTCCAAGAATTGTCAAAAATAAGAAAAAACGTTATATTTAATATATTAATTGCAGTAGTTCAAATGTACCCAAATTAAATACGAATAAAGTAAATAGGTATACATTTTTCAATATTAAGTTTTAAGTAGTTGATATTACATTTTCTTAACAGGAACGTAGTATTTTGAATATTAACACATCATCTGCCGTGTTTCCAAGTGAATTTTATTTATCTAGAAATACGTGTTAAAATTAAAAAAGAAAAATGAGAATTATTGACCATAATTTTTTTATTACTTAATCTTTTAAACAGTTAATTAATTCCCGTTGTGTCTCTACTAATTTTTACGATTCTATCCAAATTTTTTGGGTGCTGGTTATTTACTATTTTCCTATATTGTAATAATTTTTCGACGATTTTTTGGCCTAAAATCTTGTTGGTAGACAAAAAAAATGTTCGTCAATTTTTCTTCCCAATCAAAAACAGAAAATGATTGTAAATTTTAATTTTCTAATTTTTTATATGGTGTACAAATAACATATCAAGATAGTTAATGTGATTGTATAAAATATATATAAATAATTATTATAGATAAGTAGGTTTATATCTATTGTATAAAGGTGTTGTGAAGGATATTCACTTTTTAGTTTTTGTACCTACGTTATTTTCGGTTAAATTAAAATTCAGGGTGATGTTTTTATTTATATCGTGGTATGAAAACACTACAGGGTGTAACTAAATAAGTGTAAAACATTTAAGGGGGTGATTCCTCATCGAAAAAAGATACGATCTTTTATATAAAGAAACTTCATTGGAGCATCCCTTGTTAAGATACAGCCCTTTAAAGGGGGTACATAAAATTTGTTTAACAATTTTTTTCACAAGTACTAAACAAGTTACAATATTGAAATTAACCTGACATTTTCTACTACCAAAAAGACACTTAGCCAGTAATTTATTCGGTTTACCCCATGGTTGTAAGGGGTGGAAAACGCAATCCCTAAAATTTCGTTCCAACGTAACTTTTTGTCTTATTATTTGTTATTTATGACGATGTATCTCTGTAGTTGTTCGTAAAATAATTTTTTGCTGCGAACTGGTTTATTTTGGGCAAAAAATTCAAGAGACATTTTTTGTTTAGAATGAAACAGGCTATCGGAAATAAAATTTTAAATGGTAAACAAATAATAAGACAAAAAGTTACGTTGGAACGAAATTTTAGGGGTTGCGTTTTCCACCCCTTACAACCATGGGGTAAACCAAATAAATTACTGGCTAAGTGTCTTTTTGGTAGTAGAAAATGACAGGTTAATTTCAATATTGTAACTTGTTTAGTGCTTGTAAAAAAAATTGTTAAACAAATTTTATGTACCCCCTTTAAGGGGCTGTATCTTAACAAGGGATGCTCCACTGAAGTTTCTTTATATGAAAGATCCTATCTTTTTTTCGATGAGGAATCACCCCTTTAAATATTTTACTTATTTAGTTACACCCTGTATATAAAACCGGTGTATATAAACTGACAAGAAATTATTTATTTAAATTGTAATTTACTGGGATTTGAAAACAATCTCAAAAAAATTTGAAATTATTTTACATTTGTTTAAAATTTCAATTTAACTTTTTACATTTTAACACATTTTACGTTTTCTGTGACCTTTTGACATTACTCGTGACGTTTTTAATATATTTGATAGAATTTTTGACATCTGTCATGAAGTTTAACGTTTTCTGTGAAGTATTGACATTACAAGTAACATTTTTGACAATTTGACAATTTCTGTGACGTTTTGACATGCAATTTGACAATTTCTGTGACGTTTTGACATGCAATTTGACGTTTTTGTGACGCTCTTGACAATATTTTTGACATGTGACATGCAATTTGACGTTTTCTGTTACGGTATGACATGAAATTTAACGTTTATGTGACGTTCTTAACACACCTCATAGTGTTGACAGAGCACGGACAATTTTTGATATTTGACATGAAATTTGATGTTGTATGTGACGTTTTTGACATATTTCATTGTTAACAGTACTTTTGACATTTGACATACAAATTGACTTTTTCTGTAACTTTTGGATATGCAATTTGACGTTTTGTGATGTTTTTGACATTTTTCATTGTATTGACAGTGTTTTTGACATTCGACAAGTCATTTGATTTTCTGAGACTTTTGACATTACACTTAACGTTTTTGGCATAATTCATGAACTTGACAGTATTTTTGACGTAAAATGAAATTTGATGTTTTCTGTAACGTTTTGACATAACATGTGTCGTTTTTGACAAATTTCATAATGCTAAAAGAGCACGTACTATTTGATGTGCAATTTGACATTTTCTGGGACGTTTTCATGGTGCTGACAGAGCACGTACTGATTTTGACATTTGACATGCAATTTGACGTTTTCGGTGCCTTCTTGACATATTTCAGTGTTGATAGAGCACATACTATTTTTGAAATTTGACTTTTTCTGTTATGCTGTCATATTTCATTGTTTTGGCAGTATTTTTGATATTTGACTTGTAATTTGACGCTTATTTAACGTTTTTAACACATTTCGTAATGCTGACAGAACATATACTATTTTTGACAGTTGACATACAATTTGACGTTTTCTATGATTTTTTTGGCATATTTCATTGATTTAGCAGTATTTTTAACATTTGACATCTAATTTGACATTTTCTGTGACGTTTTAATAAGCAGTTTTAGGTTTTCTATGAAGTTTTGACATATCACATGACATATTTCAGTGTTTGCAGTATTTTTGATATTTTTCATGCGATTTGACGATATCTAAACCGTTTTTGACTTATTTCATGGTATTGGTAGAACATGTACTTTTTGATATTTGACATGTCATATAACGTATTTTGTGACGTTTTGATATATAATTGGATATTCATATTATGGCGTCTTGACATTAAACGCAACATTTTTGACAATTTCATTGTGTCAAATATTTTTGACATTTAACATGTCGTTTGATGTTTTCTATGAGATTTTGACATTACAATTGTCGTTTTTGACATATCATAGTGTTGACGGTCCACGTACTTTTTTGGACATTTGACATGCAATTTGACATTTTCTATGACGTTTTGACATTTGATGTGATAGTATTGACATATTTTTGACATTTGCCAGGTAATTGGACGTTTTTTGTGACGTTTTGGCATTATACGTGACGTTTTTGACATATTTTGTAATGTTGACAATATTTTTGACATTTGCCAGTTAATTGGACGTTTTTTGTGACGTTTCGGCATTACACGTGAAGTTTTTGACATATTTCATAGTACCTACTTACTATTTTTGACATTTAATTCTTTACTTTGCAATGACTTTTGACTTCAAGTAATAAACTTTAGTAATTTTGGAACTTCAATACCAATTTAAAAATCGTTTGTTACAATATTGATGCCAGTAACATCTGTCAGTTTTTAGACTTTATGATCGTCATCATAAAGTAAAGGTGCACCGTGTATTTCATACAAGAGAAAAATGGAAATAGGAGTCAAATTTTTCAAAATATTTTTGTAATACAGATTGAAGTATTTATAGATAATCGCCCTGTATTATTTTATTAAAAATAAACGAGGCCTAGAAAATAAAGTTCGCAACGAAATTTTCGTAAAAATAATGTCTCAAAACTCAAAAATTATTCAAAATAGATTAGAAAGTGGTTTTATACTTTTATTGTTCACCTCAAATTAAAAGACAGAGTTTTAGAACGAATATAAATTTTAAAAACTTGCGCAAATATGCAACAAAACGAAGGGAAGGGATAAAATTAGTCATTGAATAAACAAATTCGTTCTTCCATGGTTTCTATTACTAAAATTTGAGATTTCCCTCGTATATATGGTTGCCAACGTCGCCGTTTTGACCCGTACATTCCTGGTTGGGCGATTATTTTTCGGGATCTGGGTTTAAATTAAAAATGTTCGTTTCAGTAGCTTAATTCAAATGTCACAGAGATAGCTACCATTTATGTGATTCATGTGATAAAAGAACACGATCCAATACTAGTGTAGCAAAATTATCGAAAAATAAAACAGTGATACTCAAATAAAATAAATTTCACATAAAATCAATCCAGCATAAAACCAAATCCCACATAAAACCAATATCACATAAAAATCCCACATAAAGTAAGTCTAAAAAAATCCACATCAAATTTATATTATTTGGGATCACAATGTTGTTATTAATTACTAAGTAAACTCTTTTTTTTTTTTCAAAATGAAATAATTTTTCTCCGAGTGAGTATCGGCATAATGTTGGCAACCCTATTCGTATACTATTGTTTTATGTTGATAACACCAGTTATTCTAATCTATGTTTTGACATCATGCCAACTTTTTATCAATTTATTGCAATTAAAATTAACGAGGCTCCATGTGTATCGGCCGTTGTTAACAAA